GCGAGGTTGTGTTGGTTTTTTAATGTTATGTTAATGTTATGTTTGGGTTTCTAATGTAGATACCCAAATAACTCTTGAAATCACATCGCATTCAATAGCAGTATCAAGTAGTGATAAGTTTTAGTAAATGCAGTATTAGCATATAGATTTCATTTACATTTAGCCAATTAGAAGGTGTTTTTATTATGTGATAAGCATCATATGCAATTTATTAAACAAAACATTTTGGTTATTGTGTCTTCTGCTTTCCTGTTTAGAAAGTTTAAACCTTTTTGTTGTTTGTTTTGTTAGAAATGCAATATTCATATCCATTGCAATTCTGTGGGGAAAAAATGAATTGTGAAATATGTAAAACATTTGCAAGATGTAAACTTGCGATTGCAAAAAAATTAATGAAAAAATCTTTCAATATTGAGCCAAAACTGTTGGATAGCTTTTCAACTTAGTAAAAATAAAATTGCAATTAAAAATTATTTTAAAAATTTAAATAGAATTTTTTGTAAATTCATAAATGGGGTGGCGCAGTGGCTAGCACTGTCGCCTAACAGCAAGGTCGATGGTTAGAGCCTCGGGTGGGTCAGTTGGCATTTCTTTGTGGAGTTTGCATGTTCTCCCCGTGTTTGCGTGGGTTTCCTCTGGGTGCTCCGGTTTCCCCCTGAGTCCATAAACATGCAGTATAGGTGAATTGTGTGAGCTAAATTGTCAGTATTGTATGTCTATGAAAGAGTGTGTATGGGTGGTTGGTTGCAGCTGGAAGGGCGTCCTCTGTGTAAAACATATAAAGGATAAGTTGGTGTTTTTTTCCCGCTGTGGTAACCCCTGATTAATAAAAGGACTAAGCTGAAAAGAAAATGAATGAATGAATGAATGAATGAATGAATAAACAAAATTTCATATGTATTTTTTATCTCTACATTTTCAGTCAGAATTATTCTTCAGAAATGGAATTTTGTATCTTGCAGTTTCAGGTCAGAATTATGAGCCTAAAAAATTGTAAATTAAGAAAATAGTCAAAATTGTGCAAAATAAAATTAAAAATTCGGAGAAAACAAGTCAAAATTGCAAGATGTAAGATGAGTAAAAGAAAATTCCAATATAACTGACATACTGTAACAAACATGCTGGCATCCACACAATCAATTTGTGTTTTTTTGGAGCACACAAAAAAAACTCAAGAACTGTGCTTTTTCAGTTAATTTTAAATATGTAAATAAGTCTAATTTTGAGTGTAAACTGTGTATAATTGTAATATAACATACCCTATAATGAAGAAAACTGAAGTATTGGGTCATTTGTTTATATTGCTATATTTGTTGACCTATCATAGCACCTATAGACTTACCAAAACACATTAATTCAAGTATTTACAGTAGCATGGTTCAAAAACACAGTAGTGTACTACATATTAGTATAGTACTTAGTCAAAAACTGAGTTTGGAAATTGCTGAAGAATCTCAGATGAACTTTCATAAAGCCAATAAACTTTCAACTACAAGAAAAAGGTGCAGTTCTGAGAGAAAATGTCAGTTGCTGTACCTCTTTTGTTTTTATTTTATGATGAAAACCACAAGTAAAATCAGTTCTGAAAAAACAAACAGTAATGTTTGCCTGCAGATGCCGCTTGCTGCTATTGTGTTATGTAACGTAATGAAACTGATACATTAGCTGTTATTAAGTTATGCTGTGTAATTAAGCGCAAATGAGTCACTCCGTATAATATATCTGTGACTATGTAATAAGAGGTCATTCTAGTTTTGCGTTACGCAACCGGGATTGCAGACACTCGTCACCACAGTGGAAAATTACTCCCACAGCTCACCAGGGCCGTCGAAATAACTTAATTAAGTTTATATTCCGTCCTTCTTTGATCTCGGTGCCATTATTACTAACGTAATCTGGGGGAGACGTGCCAATCAAACGTATTTTTGGGCCTGTGTATTGTAATGATAACGGCTGATTTGATAACCAAGCAAGTTTGTTACTTGTTGTAACTCATGCACACACAGTTATGGATGGTTTGCGATGTTTATTTGCAATATTTGTATGTATTTACAAGTCTTTGAGACAACAAAAAATACAATTTCTCTTACAAATTACAAACACCAGACAAGCTGATTTGGATATTTTGCTCAAAGTTTGTTGCAAGCAACTTTAAAACACTGACACACACACACTCACGTTACACTTTTTTACTCCCAAACGATATAAAAAAACATGACTTAATACTATACTAATATACAGTAAATGCTACAGTGTTTTTGAGCCATACTATGGCAAAGTACTTGAATTAACGTGTTCTGGTAACTCTTTACTCAGCAAATATAGTAATATAAACAAATGACCCAATACTGTAGTTTTCTACAAGTTTAGAGTCTATTATATTACAATTATATACATTTACACTCAAATAATGATGTTCATTCCACTTGTATTTGTTTTAAATTTGTTTCTATAAGTTAATTGGGGCGGCATGGTGGCTCAGTGGTTACCACTGTCACCTCACAGCAAGAAGATCGCTAGTTCGAGTCCCAGCTGGGCCAGTTGGTATTTCTGTTTAGAGTTTGGGTGCTCTGGTTTCCCCCACAGTCCAAAGACAAGCACTAGAGGTAAACTGGATGAACTAAATTGGCCGTTTCCAAGTTCTGGGTTGCAACTGAAAGGGCATCCGCTGTATAAAACATATGCTGGAATAGTTGGCGGTTCATTCCGCTGTATCGACCTCTGATGAATCAGAGACTAAGCCGAAGAAGAATGAATAAGTTAACCTAATTGCTTCATGTTGTCCCAACACAAATCGATTTGTGTAGAACCCAGCATTTTGTACAGTGTACTGTACTAAAAACTAAAGTACTACAGTATTTGTTACAGTTTACTACAGTATAGCATTCGTTAACAAAGGGTAAATGCTACAGTATAATACACTCTACTATAATCTCAGAAATAAAGGAGCTGTCAATGGGGCAGTACCTTTTTAAAAGATACATATTTTACCCAAATAATCCACAGTTGTACCTAAAAGGTGCATATTTGTACCAAAATGTAACTTAAAAGTACCTTTAAGGTACCATAATGGACCCTTCAGGTACAAATATGTACCTTTTGAAAAGGTACTGCCCCAGAGACAGCTCCCGTACCTTTATTTCTGAGAGTGTACAATATGGTTCAAAAACACTATAGTATTTACTATAAATTACTATAGTCTTTGTTTCAAGAGCATCACATTATTGTTGTAAACAAATAAGTCACAGACTTTAGTCATAAAGGAAGGTTCAACACGACATGTATACTGTAACATATAAGAATCAACACATTTATTTCAGTAACAAAAAAACCATTGTCCATCTGTCTCTGCAGTAGAAACAATTTCCTCTGCCGTCGCACATTAATTTGCTTTGTTTAGTAAGTCGAGCCCCAATATACAGTTGAAGTCTCAATTATTAGCCCCCCTGTTTATTTTATTTCTCGATTTCTGTTTAACAGAGAAAAGATTTTCTGCACAACACTTTTATGAACATAATAGTTTTAATAACTCATGTCTAATAACTGATTTATTTTATCTTTGCCATGATGACAGTAAATAATATTTGACTAGATCTTTTTCAAGACACTAGTATTCAGCATAGCCAGAGGGGGTTTGGGTGGTTCAAAATACCCACGTCCGTAATTGACAAATGTCCAGAATTTGTCCCATACATGATCTTATTTGTACAATTTTGACTGCTATGCCATCATAAATAGCAAAAATAACCATCGAAAAAGGGTTTTGAGACAAAGCGAAATCCTCTGTTGGCTGTCGCTTCGGTGCAATTTGAGCTTATCAGTTTTTTCCAATGCAAACAATTATTTTTCATGAGTCCAACATCCAACTGTGCAAGAAAACATACAATCTGATGTAAGTGAAGTCTTCTTTAGCTACTGTATTGTTTTTAAATAGAGAACAAATTTCACAAGTAAAATCTGGGACATTCACTTGAAGCAAATAATGACCCATATTAAGATTCACTCAAATACTATTTTGGCTATTGTTGTTATCCATCAATTTCCAAATGTACTTTATTACAAGAGAGGCTAGAAAAATCGTGAAGCTCTAAGTTATTATGTTTGATTTATATATATATTTTTTATTATTCAAATAGCCAAATCCTGACTAAGAAAAATTAAATGTGCTGGCCAGTTTGTTATTTGCCTAATAAATGACAATAGACTACAGTTTTTAGTTTAAAACTTTAGCACAGGGCTCTCAACCTCAATTCCTGGAGGGCCGCGGCTCTGCACAGTTTAGCTCCAACCACCTTCAACTCACACCTGCTCAATAGTCTTTAGTAGTCTTGAACACCTTGATTATTTGGATCAGCTGTGTTTGATTAGGGTTGGTGCAAAACTGCAGAGTTGTGGCGCTCCAGGAATTGAGTTTGAGACCTATGCTTTTACAGATTCCTATTTTTTCAGATGATATATGATGTAATAAATTAGTATTTTAAAAGTAAGTATTTTTCATATTTATTTTTTCTAAATCTTTATAAAATATTTTTGGCACATCAAAAAGCTAAAAATAGTGCTTAAAATGTCTCTAAAATGCATTTAAATCTCATAATTAAATAGAAAATGAGGTGTATAACTGAAACAAGTCCACTTTTTGAGAAAAAAGAACCGACCCATTCACCAGGCTGGCTACGGGTCTGCATTTAAAGGCTTAACTAAGCCAGTTACATTAATTAGGCAAGTCATTGTATAATGACGATTTGTTTTGTAGACAAAAACAAAATATTGATTAAGGGGGCTAATAATATTGTATAATATAATAATATCATATTTTAATAGAAAATTAAAAATAGATTTTATTACAGCTGAAATAAACCAAAATAAGACTTACTGTAAAAAATAAGACAAAATAAGACAATACTGTGAAAAATGTCTTGCCCTGTTAAACATAATTTGGCAAATATGTAAAAAAAAAAAAAAGATTTCAAAAATTCACAGGAGGGTAAATGCTTTTGACTTCAACTCTATACATTTATTGACTGTCTTTTTTTATTATTCATCCAACATGGCTTCTAGGACTCCATAGGCACGCTCTGACTTGATTTGCGCGAACAGTCAAAATGCAAACACTGACTGGATTTGCGGGAATAGTCTAGGCCTATCGACTGACTGGACTTTCGGGAGTTGCATGGGTCTTTCCAGGAGTCAAAGCCATCTTTGGCGCGGACAGAGGTCAGCTTGGACAGGAGTGTGTTCCTCCTGATGCTGCTGTCCGAGTCCTCTTTGTGCAGGGTGTTTTGGGGTTTGTTCCAGCATGGGAAACAGCCTAAGAAGTCGTGGAGAAGGTGGCCACTGAACAGCATGTAGATCCACGGGTTACAGCAGCTGTTGAGGCTCGCCAGCAGGGCAGAGAGGGTCACCGCTGCATTTTCTGAATCTGAAAACGACATTCGTGGTTGAAGGAGTTTAGAAATTGCTCACAAGAGTAGCAGGATTAACTTTAGTTTTACTAATGCACTTGTTATGATCAAGCAATCCTACTTGAATTGAAATCTGATTTAAAGGGATAGTAATGTATTGTTTACTGAACTCCCAAGAGTTTCTTTCTTTTGTTGAACACAAAAGAAGATATTTTGAAGAATGTTGAGAGCTGTAAACATTGACATCCATAGTAAACAAAACAAATACTATATACAACTCAATGGTTACAGGTTTTCATTTTGCTTCAGAATGTCTTCGTTTGTGTTCAACAGAAGAAATAAACTTGTTAAGGGTAAGTAAATGATGACAGCATTGTCATTTTTGGGTGAACGATCCCTTTAAATATTTATCAAATAATAGGATATTGATTCAAATGTTATTTCAAATATTTGTTGAAAGATAAACTATTTCTCACTGTTGATAGATGTGTCTTTTAAGATGTGAATTTCTTCAAGATATTAGGTTATGTAATCAATCATTTTACCTTTCAATCTGTTTCGAGATAAGAAGATGCTTCACGGAAAGCAATATAGCTTTATATAATGCACATTATGTAATGGTACTGTATAAACACTGATAATAATGAAAACAGAAATACAATACCCTTATATCCTGTAATCTCAAAGGAATGCTAATGGAATTTAAAAAAAGACTCTGAGAGGCTGATAAGATCTTCTTGGATCAAGAGAAATTCTGAAGAAAAAATATCTTATTCAATTCTTATAGGATCTTGGTTTGGTTTCATTAGTAGAGATTCCCAGTTTGTTTTTTCTTTTCATTAGTTTTTTCCATTGCACAAAAAATTAACCATGGTTTTAATTTTGGTCGTGTTTTAAAACATATACAGATACTATAGTCAAAGTTAAGTTATGGTGACTTGTTTGAACGTCGTTTTTATTTGATCTATGTTTGTGTGTCTGTCTCTGTGTATGTATAATCAACCCATGGTTAATTTCGCAAGGGTGGTAAGCAAATACACAACTCCCTTTTGGGGGGAGTTGCTTGGTTAATATCATAATTACCGTCATAATTAGCTTTAAACAACGTATTGTGGGATTACAAAGCTCATTTCAAATTTACGGGATTTTTAAACCCTTTTTCTGGTGTATTAAACTAGTGTCGTTGATTTTGACATATACGTATGTTTCAGCAACATTTCAAGTAACAACAAATGTTAGATAAGGATACTCAAGAGTATGTAAAATAAATGTTTATAGCCTATATTTGGAACGAAGCTTTCGCGTCCTGAAATTTAAATGACAAAATCGACTCTTCAAACTTGTATTTTTTAAGTATTATGTTTAAATATTCGTGCGCATGTAATCCGCGTAATGCTGCGGGGAACCTACCATCCCAGGAGAAGTTTTCATCCCAGACTGACCACATTTGCACGGTGAAGAACGGAGCCCAGCACACAATGTACGCCAAAACAATCACGAAGGTCATCTTGACCGTGCGCAGTTTGGCTCTGGAGATGATGGTGACGCTGCTGACGGACGCCTTTCCGATCATCCCGCTCTTGGGGTTGTGCGCGGCGCCTCGCTTCGTCTTGCACTTGAAGTTCTTCCAGATGCTGTGGCAGATGAACCCGTAGCAGATCATGAGGATGACCACCGGGATGAGGAAGATGCCCACGGTGATCCAGGTGATGTAGGCTCGGATGCCCCACGGCTCGATGAAGTGTCCCCAGCAGTCATACACATCCGAGCCGTTCTGGATCTCGCTCAGGGAGAAGATGAAGTACTGAGGAGTGCTGAGCAACAGGCTGCAGAGCCAAGTGGAGCAGATCATGATGTACGCGCGCCGAGTGGGCTGCTGGAGGGTTTTAAGAGGGTGGCATATAGCGATGTAGCGGTCCAGAGTCATCATCACCATCATGTAAGTGGACGCGAACATTCCCAAGACCTGGAGATGCTTGACTATCCGGCAAAGAAAGTCAGGTCCGTAAAACCTGTAAGTGATCTCCCAGCAGAGCTGTGGGAGAACCTGGAAGAAAGCCACCACCAGGTCCGCGAGGCTCAGGTGCTTGATGAACAGGTGCATGCGCGAGCTCTTCTTCTTGGTGTTGTGCATGGCCAGCAAAACGCACAGATTTCCGACAACCGCCACGAGGAAAGTGACGCTCAGGACCGTGATCTCCATTTTGGCCACATCTTCGTTCCTCCCGAACGGATCGGTAGTGTTGTTCGCCGTGATTTGGTTCGACGTGTTGCCCATGGTTGGGTTTGGAAACGAGCAGTGGTTTTCATGCGTAAAGGCGCGAGCGCGCGGTCAGGTATGCGGAGATGCGCGCGCTGCGCCGGGCATCATTGCGCACGGAATCTCGTGCGTAAAAGGCAGCCGTTGAAGAGTCCTCAGTTAGAATGGACAGGATTGATGCATTATTGTTTCAGAGACACGAGCTGTATTCGGATCGTACACATAAGTGTGTCTCGGTTGTGATCTGACGCACAAAGGTCAGAAAGATTGTCTGACAAGTGTTGACAAGCATTCCTTAAATCCAACCCCCACTGAAGAGGCTGGAAAGCTCAAGAGCCGCCCCTTCCCTCTCCCCTTCTGCACGCCCATAATCAGTCTGATAAATAACATTACAAGTGGATGTAGGTACAAGCGGCGCGCGCTCTTATTGGAACTATTTTTGCGCAAAAATGCATGAAGTAAAATGCAGATACGGCCATTTGTTATATGATTACCTTTATATGAAATAATCGATTGTTTTAACCATTAAAATAAGGATTTAATGACCTTCTAAGGATTTAAATCCCAGTTTCCCTACACATGAAAGTATCCAAATAACATGTAGTGACCCCCGAAATAATCAATAATTTTATATTATTAATAAAAATCCATAATACGAAAAAATCAATAACTTTTCTTTTGAGAAAGTAACATATATTCTGAATTAGCATAAAAATTCAGTTTAGAGATTTTAAACTTTTTACTAACGTTCATAAAACCCTTATACACTGACAGGGATATAGACATACAAGACAAAAAATCGTCACTTTATTATAACATAATAATTAATCATAATTAATCATCATAAAATGATGTATTGTAAATTATTTGTAACATTTGAAAATTTACTGCAATATGTCATTGCAATCTTTATGCACAGCATACCCCACTGGCCACTATTTTGTCATCAACATATTTGCTCTTTGTGATTCTGTACATTAACTAACCCTATCAAAAAACTGTTAGCAAATCTTTGTTGCTACACTGTAAAACCCTAAACGTTAAGGTAACTCTTTGAGCAAACCATTTAAGTTCAAAAACTAATCCTAATGTGTACAGTACTGTGAAATTAATCAATTTATGTAAACTAAGGAATTTGAGTAGAGTAAAACCCAATAAATAAAGAGAACTCAAACCAATTGAGTACTGTAAAACCCAATAAGTTAAGCCAACTCAAATTGTTTGAGGAAAACTATTGCTACAAACTCTTTGGGTTAAAAAAAACAACTAATCCATATGAGTTCTGTGAACTTGACGTAATGAGGTATTACCACTTTACCTTCAACATTGAGTTCAAAACTCTTTTCAAATGAGTAGAATTAATTTTCAGTAAATTTTGAGTTAACTACACTCAATTCATTTGATTAAGTTGACGGTTCAGTTTTACAGTGTACACTAACCTTTCATTTAGAGTTTTGATGCACCTATTATCATGGTTCAAACAAAGTAATCTTTGGTCATGTGACAATTTGCTCCAACCATATGACTCTGCACAAATTGCATTGGCACATTTACGTTTGCTATGTTTACAAAAACACCAGTTAGTACCATTTTTAGAGCATTGTAATAGGGCTGAACTGATAAACCAAGCTATATAGAATCGCAATCAAATGTATGTCAATAACAATGATAAGCTCTGGACTTTTTACTGATCACACAGCAGAAATGTGCAACAATAGGAATCCAGAAATGTGTTGATATTAGAGATGCACCAAATTTTTGGCTGCCAAATATTAATGTCCACCGAAAATAGGTTATGTCATTTAATGAACCCTCTTTGCTGGAACACTGTTTCTAAATATGGAGGCATTGACAACTGATATCGAAATATTTATCGTTATCGTTCAATATGGAAATAATTCACTGAGATTGCATTTTTTCCCATACCGCCCAGCCCTAATTGTAAAGAAGTACATTTTACAATCACTATTGTGACCTATGGGAATAAATGGTGGAAAGAGTCTATTAAAATATCCTATACTCTAAGTTAAAAACAAGTTTATTAAAAAAAAGATCTTTAGGAAACCCGGAAAGGATTTTTCAATACTAAAACTGCTATGTTTTCTAAGGGTGTTTGGCAGCACGCTCTTGTTTGCCTCATGTTTATTAGCTACGTGATTGTTGGTAATGACAGAAGGAAAAATGTCCATAAATTTCCTAATTTGATCCAGTCATGTTGGAAACACAAATGCCATAGCTGAAGGAAAATACACTGAGTGTGTGCCACACACTTAAGTCTTAATGGAGTGGTGTCATCTGGCAGATTTACAGGCAGGTACTTGTACACTCTGATTTATATCAAGGTTAATGTGCGCAGGCAGAAAACAGGAGACATTTGGATCTAATATAGTCTTATTGGCATTACTTGCGCCTTGTGTTTATGAATAACTAGCCAGAAAAAAACATTGCATAACACAGACACCACACAGCGCACAGTCCCTTTTTTAAAGTTTCTTCTTTTTTATATACAGTTGAAGTCGGAATTATAAGTCCCCCTGTATTATTAACCCCCTTGTTTATTTTTTTTACCCAACTTCTGTTTAACAGAGTGAAGATTTTCTTCAGCACAATTCTAAACATAATAGTTTCAATAACTCATCTCTAATAACTGATTTATTTTATCTTTGCCATAATGAAAATAGTATTTGACTAGATATTTTTCAAGACACTTCTATACAGCTTAAAGTGACATTTAAAGGCTTAACTTGGTTAATTAGGTTAACTAGGCAGGTTTAAAGGGGCTACAATTTTTACCTTAAAATGTTTTTTTTTTTTTCTAGCTGAAATAAAACAAATAAGACTTTCTCCAGTCGAAAAAATATTATCAGACATACTGTGAAATTTTCCTTGCTCTGTTAAACATAATTTGGGAAATATTTAAAAAAGAAAAAGAAAATCAAAGGGGGGCTAATAATTCTGACTTCAGTATATATACAAACAGACTGCACACTTGAAAGTAAAATACTGTATAGATAATATACTTTATAGTGTGTAATGGCATATAAAACAGGCTATAAATAATACTTAAGTAACATTTTCTCTCTGCGTTTTTGGCTAAAAGCATACTTGAGTGAAAAGAGTTATTAAAAATAAAAGTAACATAGCAAAAATAATGGAGAAGGCTTTTATTAAAAGTTGGATGACGGGGGATATTAAACCAGTGGGAAAATATTCATCTAGTTTTTTAAGTTAATACATTTTTACATTATTTTTAGTTATTCAAAACAGCTGTGGATTATTTTGGGCATTTACATATTTATGTTAGAGGTTCGGTAAAATATTGAAAAAAATATAGCTGAAAGGGGCTAATAATATTGACCTTAAAATGGTGTTTAAAAAATGTAAAACTGATTTTATTCTAGCCGAAATAAAATAAATAAGACTTTCTCCAGAAGAAAAAATATTATCAGACATACTGTAATGAAAATTTCCTTCTGTTAAACATCATTTGGGAAATATTTAAAAAAAGAAAAAAAACTCAAAGAAGGGCTAATAATTCTGACTTCAACTTGTATTTATTATGATTATTTATGACTGCATTCATCCAAATAGCATTCATTGAGTATGAAAAAATAGTTATTTTATTCAACTTGTAATTTCATTTCATCCTTGTTTCCTTTCAATAACGTGTTTTTTCGTCACTAATTTTTATTGTATGAAGAAGAGTTTCACTTGGGACCTTCAGTATGATAATGCTCACATCATAACCCATCATTTTGTACCTTTTTGTATGTATATGTACTAAAATAGCTTAAAGTAACATAAAAAGTGTGACATCTTGACAAATTGTTTTACAGCGCAGTCAGAGAGTGATTGTGGATATCAGTGCCTCCATTTTCAGTCCATTTATACTGAAACACAACACCAGCATTTTCATCTAAAGGAGGGTTTTAAGGTACTCAAAGGTGAAACAACAACAAAACTTTAAACAAAAAGCAATCGCAAGTCATAAGCATCTATAGTAGAAAAAGAGAAGGATATCATTGGCTACCAGTTTCCAAAATTCTTCAAAATATTTCCTTTCAATTCAACAAAAGACAGAAAAACTCAAGCAGACTTGGAAAAAAATGGAGATTGAGTAAACGATGACAGGATTTTACTATTCCCTTAAGATCTGATCTGTATTCCTTATCTACAGGTTGTTTTGGACCAAACCCATCTGCTAAATTAAAAAATGTAAATGAGCTTCTTCTAAGAACGAACCTCTAGTGCATGTCAATAGATGCAGGAGGCTGAAAAATCGATCAGTTCTGTCCATAATGAAGGCTCATCAGTGGAAGGAGACAAAAGGGCATCAGCGTTTGACACAAACGAGCAGTTTCTCCCACACAAATGCTGGAAACACCCCCAAATCACCCGCTGAAAATCACCGAACACTTCTTCAAGTGCTTAAAACACTTACCTCCTGGCCATAAAGCAGCAGAAAGCTTTCAGTCAGTCCATCTCTTCACAAATGTTCACAGTAAAAAAAAAAAAACACTCTGAAGATGTTTTAGCACTGCTTTGCTTCGTGCCCCATTTGTCCACCACAGGTGCAATCTGAATGAAGAAGTATTTCAGAACGTTTTTCATAACTATTTAGATACTGATAAAAATAACTTGTGGAAAGGTTTGATGGATGTTTGTGTGCATGTTTGAACAGTAAGATGGCACACATACTGTCATTTGCTGCTTGCTATAGTTGGCTGTAGATTTAATTAGTGAGTGACATTTCATGCTAGAGAGCTTTTGATTGGAAGGCAGAGTGCAGGATGAGTCATCAACATTCTTGGTTTGTTATCTCGGATTATAATACCTGTAGGGGTGACACGATGGCTCAGTGCTTAGCACTGTTGCCTCATCGCAAGAAGGATGCTGTTTCAAGTCCCAATAGTTGGCATTTCTATGTGAAGTTTGCATGTTCTCATCGTGTTCGCGATTGTTTCCTCCTGGTGCTCCGGTTTCCCCCACACTCCAAAGAGATGTGCTAGGTGAATTGAATAAACTGAATTGGCCTTAGTTTATAAG